CACACACACACACACACACACACACACACACACACACACACACAGACACACACACACACAGCCATCCTTCTTGGAAAATGGAAATCTGATGTCTGACAGGGGAGGTGGGTGCAGGTCACGCTGTGTCTCTCTGCTTACTGCCAGTTTGTACAGATTCACCATCAACAAGATTGTTTTCTTTTATCTTTTACTTTATTTGGTTACAACTACTTGAAAAATATCCTTAGAAGTGAAAAATCTTTGGCCTCCTTGGAAGAATAACTTCCTGCGATGCTCTGCTTCTGACCTTTACACTGAGATTTAAATGTATATCTTTATCTACTCTTTCATTTCTTTTATTTTAGCTTCTCCTCTGTGAATTACTGATTACAGATCTTTATTCTACTGAAAGGTGAAGCCTGAAGAAAAAAAAGCGTATGGCAACAGAGCATGTGGAAGAACCATACACAGCCACCTCCACATGCTCAGTCACATGACGCTGTGCCCGTTCCTCAACCAGAATTTGTACCAAATCAACCAACGTGGTCATGTTGGTCAGTTATAGACGACAAATAAAAAAGACGACCTGAACTCTTCGGCTTGTTGAGCACGAGTTTTCAGTTTTTGTTTCCCACATGTTTTGTCACATGATTTGTGAGAGCTGAAATTTCAGTCTGACCCTGACTCTGGTCGCGTCTGATACCTGAGAGGAGCTTTAAACGAGCTTCTGCCAAAGTTTCCTTTGAGACGTTGCTGTTTTACAGACCTGCTGTCGCTGTAATGCCTCGTTTATGTTAAAAGCACCTAAGAATCGGTCGTTAAAATTGTTTTTGTTTAAAAAATAAAAGACATAATGTGCGTTTCCAGAAGTCCTCTTATTCTTATTGCTTTATTTCTTCAGAGCTGTTCATCTAAAACAAGTTCATTTAGGAGCTGTTAAGCATCATAAGATGTAAATTATTATAAAGAAAAAGCATAAATTATTAAAAGGTTATGTGAAAGATGAACAATAAATATCTTACCTGTTGTAGATCACTTTTATACCAAAGTTTGGACAAAAATAATTCTGACTGGATGGATTTGTCGTAATGTGGTCARGACCAAAGTGGATAAATACTCTTATTCAACAAAATCATATTTATATTTTGGACAGCTGACTTTATAACTTTTATACTTTTTAAAATCTTTCACTTTATGTTCAAACATTTATTACATAGAAATATGTTAACATGTCTTTTAAATCCACCTCTTACAATTTAGCTAATTTAGCATTTAGCTGCTGTTTCGCGGTTTTTTTGCTTATAACTCTATTTTTGCTGCTGTTTTGCTAATAGCGTTCAGTTACTTTAGTTATTTTAGCCTTTGGTTCTTGTTTGATCAACTTTTGCTTTTATCTGATGTGCAAATTTTAGCTACTTTTTGCATATAATTATGATTTGATTAATTTTAGATGCAGTTTTGCTCATTTTAGCTTTTGTTTTGGTTTTAAAGTTCAAAACTTATTTCAGCTTTTAGTTCTGATTTTGTCACTTTTTGCTTTTATGTCATGTTTTGTAAATTCTAGCTTTTAGCTGTAGTTTTGCTAATTTTAGCTTTCATTTCCGTTAGGTCTTTAAGGTTTTGGTTCTGATTTTGTCAATTGTTTAATTTTAGCTTTCATTTCCGTTAGGTCTTTAAGGTTTTGGTTCTGATTTTGTCAATTGTTTACTCTTATTTCCTGTTTTATGAATTTTAGTGTTTAATTGCTGTTTTGCTTGTGTTAACCTTCAGTTACTCTACTTATTTTAACGTTCAGCTCTGGTTTTGTCCATCTTTGCTTTTGTTTGTTGCTTTTCTAATTTTAGCACTTAGCTATGGGTTCGCTCATTTTTAATTTGAGCTGATATTTTGCCAACTCTAGCTTCTATTCTGCTTGTTTTGTTTGTTCCAGCAGAGTTTCAGCTTCTTTGTCAAATTTAAGCAAAGTCATGCAGCGTTTACTGTTTGATTCGTGTCCTAAAGTTCATCTTGTTCCTTCTAAAAACAGTTTCTGGTCCTCTGAGCTGTTTTGGCGGCACAAAGGCAGTTTTGGCGTTCCATCAACCACTGAGCACATCTTGGTCTGATCGAATTGTATGAATCCTTTAGGATGACGGCCACATGATGAGTGAGTTTAACATCAGAGTCTGTCTTTTTTTAAGAAAAGTGGATATTTTGAGCCGTTGCAGTGTGGTTTGCAGCTCCGAGTGTCACTACAGTGTTTATGTAGCTGCAGCGTGACCTTCTGGAGGACGCCGTCTCTGGAATGTTTGGCTGCTGGCAGCGCCTCCATGACTGATGAGCTGCTGGCTCCAGCCCTGCATTTCTCTGCCTCCTGACAGCTGGGTGTTGTCCTGCTGTTGGGCTTTAATGGGGGCGCTGCAGGAAGGAGGCTGTTGTGTGGATGAAATCAAACACCTTTACATAAGTCACAGTGTTTGGACTGTCCTGCGTGGACGTTTGGAGCCATTTGGATGAGCGGCACGAGGACGCTTCAGTAAATGAAAACATGCTTTTTTTTTTGTGGTGTATTTTAAAGTAATTTGTATTTTTTTTCTTGCAGTGGTAAAGATGGAGTCTCAGCTGGGTGTACAAGACGAGAAAACTGAAATTTTTGTCACAAAACCACATCAAAGTCTCACTTCTCGTGAACTGTAAACCAGGCTTTAGCTCCTCAAATTGGTCTGAAATTCCTGGATCCAAACTCCACAAATAGTTTAAATGGTGATTTTTAAATTCCACAGTAGCATAAATTCCAGAAAGGTCTCTTTTATGGAAAAAAGGAACACATTAGAACAAATAAACCATTTTAGATCCTTAGTTTCTGCAGGTTGTTTTCATAAAGTAAAATAGAAAAATGCAGTCAAATTACACCTTTTCCCCTCTAACGCCAATGCTGGTAGTTGTTGTGGAAGTCTGGTGTTGTATGTCATCAGTCAGGATTATTGTGCCATGAAAAGAATAATCAAAAGCAAACAACTAGCTTTAAGACTGAATGTTTGATATTAAATTGATGTGTTTTCCACCTCACTGAATCCAGGAAGTGCTCAAATATGTTTTATTTTTATCTGAATCATATTTCTTTATAATTATGTTTTGTTTACTTTGTAAAAAAATAACAATTACACAACAGTTTCCTGGTTTCTTATGAAACTAATTGGAAATATCAGTGTTTAGGAGCTGAATTAGGTCTGCAGCCTCACTAAAAAGAATACTAATGACAAGAACCACTGCGACTCATTTAATCTGTGTGTGAGTGTGTGTGGGTGTAGTGAGGCGTCAACAAAAACCTTTTTTTTATTTCTCTCTTCATTATCTGCACTGTTTTTGTTTTTCACTTGAGTGTTATTTTAATTAGCATTCAAATCCCCACTTTACATAATGAGAGGCAAGGCCATGCTGTTTCAAAAAATAAATTTCTGTTCCAGTCTTTTAGATTCACAGAAAAATAGCTTCAGAGAGGGTTGTTGCTCTTGTTTCTGCATTTAATTTGTCCCTTTTCGTTAATTAAATATGACATAGGACCCTTTTTCCTGGCTGAGAGAAGATTTAACGACTGGACGGAGCAGGAAAGCTGCTCAAACGATAATTGTTAGTCTTTATGAACAGTTTGAGGACCTGCGAGCATCTTTTTTGGATGTTAGGTGCCAAGATTTACTAGATTAACTTCTGTGGTCAATGGTTTGTCCATGACACACACCTTGTGGAGAAGTGATTTGCTGCCATCTAGTGGCCAATTGAAGAACTACAACATAAAAACTTTTCTTTTTTTAAACCAACTTAGCGAAACAAACTTTATATACAAATACCATAATATGGCATATAGTAAACGCACGCTTGCATATTTTTTGTTTCATTACTTATTTTATTTTTTACTAAAAAAATAAAACATATGCTTTTATTGTGAAATCAGATTGATTTCCGCCGAACTGTTTGCCATGGCAACACAAACAAGCGTTAAAAAAAAGGCCGAGCTTGTCTTTTTCTTGACTTAAATTAAATGAAGCGGTCAGTTATTGTAGTGATATATGTTTTTGTTTTACTCTTAATAAAATAAAATGTCAGCATGTCGCGGGCAGGTAAAAAAGGTTCCGCCAAGAAGCAGCAGGGACCCTCCGCCACACCTGTGAACAACACCTGGGAGGCTGGTCTAACCAAAGCACAGTTTGAGGAGGTTTGTCTTTTCAGCTGCCACTTTAAAGATAGTTTTTACTTATGTTTTGAGTCGGATGCATTTTTTTTTTTTTTTGTGATAGCTTGTTTGTTTAAGCTAGCAGGTAAACTTTTCTCGCCTGTTTGTTTCTATCGCGAGATTTCACCACGAAGTCTCATCACGACTCTTATTTTACTGCGAGCCGAGAGGAAAGAGTTGAATTAAAATAATTCTGAATATCTAAAKAAGTAGATAAAATGAAGCGTCATGTAGAAAACGGCAAGCGTTTCGGGCCTTATAATTTTAAGGGTTACAACCGGAAGTCGTGCGTTTTCGTCGCGTATTTTTCCTAAAAACAAAACTTTTTTTTTTAAAAAAACTGCGTCATTTTATGGGTTTTTGTGCTATCTTTAAGTTTAAACGGTGACATGATTTGTATTTATTAACTTTTATTTAATAATGTTGATAATTAACATCTTAATTTAGCTAATAAYGTCGATGCTTTGACCCTTTGACCCCTGCAGGACTCATGGCGGGCCTGTGTCTCCCTGCTGGTTGGGAGAAGTTCAGAGGAGGAAAAACTCATCAATCCTCTGGTTTTMGCTGTTCAGAAACCGCAACGTAAACTTTTCTCCGTAATATCCCGGGACAGCACACTTGCAAAGGTATTTCCAGTTATTTTTATTGCTTTAAACAAACCTATCTCCTATATTCATTGGTTAGTTTGTGTTTTTTTTTTTAATTCTGGCACTAACAGGTTTTTATTATTGGCCATGAATTTGTCTAATAAATAATTTACTTCACAGATCTGTGAACTGTCGGATCTCAAAGCAAAAAAGCCCAACAATGCTCCCATGTTTAGTGAGGTAGAGATAAATCTGTGCACGTTTGTAATGACTGATGTTTTCTGTGACTGATGGCCTGGTCGTGTCTCCTGCAGGTGAAAGAGTCTGCTAAGATGCTGCTGGATGCAGGGGAGGAGATTCCTGTCGATCTGATGGCAAAACTACTGAAGTTCCAGCTGCTGCAAATTAAAACCAGCGACCAGCAAAGGAGGGAAGCAGAGCAGGCGAGTCCTGATCTCCCGTGGGCTGTCTGGATGTTTACGTCATTTTTTAACTTTTAATTTGTCTGTAAATTTCAGCTGAAGACAGAGAAACAAAAAGAAAACGTCAGCATTCCCACCGACAGAAAGGCCAAGAGTCCTTCAAAGAAGGGAAAGAGTCCGACTTCAGATCTGGAAGCTCTCAAGGAGAAAAAAACAAAGCTGAAAAGCCGGGATGATGTTGAACCTACATTTATTGGTAAAAATGTTTGTGTTAATTAGGGCTGCCACAAACGATTATTTTAATAATCGATTAATCACCGATTATTTATTCGATTAGTCA